CAGAGAGTGACATCCATTTTATCTCCAGAGCAAGACATTGAGGCAGGTGCCTGGAATTCACCATTGGGTGGACTTGAGACAGGCCCATCAGTGTTGGAGTCAAACCTCCCAGACAAAATGTCAGGGGCTGGGACCTCCCTCGGAGGGCTCTCCAGATTCCAACCCAGCTGTGCTACAAGGTCAGAATGACTCTGTACCCCAAAAGAAACTGCTGTTTCTTTTAGCTCTGTGGAGGGGGTACCACTCTGGGAAGCCTCTGGGAGCATCTGTAGATGGGCTTGGAGCAGCAAATGACCCACAGAACCAGCGAGGTTTAGCTGACAATAAACTGGCCTTATATCCCAGTTCTGTGTCATGGTCACTGTAGGCTCAGGAGAGTTGCTGTGCTTCTGTAGGCCTCGACAAAGCACCGATGAGAACAGCGGGCTCAGAAATGGTGTCTGTAAGCTGGCCTGCACAGCCCCTGAGTTAGATGCGGCCCCCAGAACTGTTCTGTAGAAAGACAAGTGGCCACACCTCCCTCTAAAGAGAGTAAAAATAATTAAATAATAAACAGGTAGATCTGATCACTTTCCAAGTGAGCATTCACAGTCTGGAAGGAAAAGTCCTGGCGCCCAGGTGAGTGCACACACCGCGGTCAGGAGGTGTCTCTCTCAGCACAGCTGGCCCCACACATCTCCTTCCCCTCCCCTGCAGCACATGCTGGACTCCAATCCCAGGTGATCTGATCTCTCCTCATCCTCAAACGCATGCAGGACTGCTCAGACCACTGATGACCATCCTGTAGCCAGGTAATGTTAACATTGGAGCAGGGGAGCATTTCCTGGAGATAAAGAGGCTGAGGTGCTGGTAGCCACTTCTCACTGAAGGACCTTTGCAGTGAAGAAGGGAGACAGCATTGAGGTGAGCTCTGTGTTCACTATTTGATTGGCCTTGAGAAGACGGAGCCCTGGTTCCTGTAACACTAATGCCATATGGCTTTCTACCAGCAGAGAGTCCACTGCTACACTCTGGATTCTAAGGAAATTTCAGCCTCAGAAAATACAATTCACTGAATAAAATACATGCCAACCAAGCATCATTTCTGGTCTCCTCAGCTTCAAGTCCTGGGCTAACTCACTGGCTTCCTCTGTTTCCTCCTGAATCACTGGGAGTGGAAGGGGCCAAGGAGCCCAGGACCGTCCATGCACACAGTGAGTGTGGGGTGTCTGGGGTTCTGATGCACGCTGCAGAATCATTTTCTGGGGACTGAATGGTCCTAAGCAGGCAATGATATGCTTTCCTGGGCATTATCAGAAAAAAAACATTCTAACAAGAAGGGAAAACAATCAAACAGAGCAGTAACAGGTCTGAGGTTCTCTCCTTCAGCTCCGGAAGTGATCGCTTTGCAAGGTGGGAAAAGTGGTGAGAACAAACACATCTTACCCAACTGCAAACACTGAAGGATAGCTCTGAGAACCTGGGCCACCACCCCGGCAGATGGGCCAAGGATTCAAGCCCCACTTACTTGAAAGCAGTCACCATGCCAGCTGACAACCAGCTTATACTTGGACCACAACTGGGTTCTGGCACACACTCGGTCTACACAGATGATGACAGATGTAATGAAAGTCTTCAGTTCTGCTTCCTGTGGCCACCACACACTGTCATCCCTATGAACTCCACCAAAATGAGCTTAATCCACCTTAAAATGTCCTGGAGCTTCAAAGTTTAAATCAGGCCATGCTGATTTTGTGGGCTTTTCCAAGAGTTGACGCTGTAATTATACGCAGGACTCTGTGCCACCGAATTCCCCCCAGCTGAAACATTATTTCACATCTTTTTTTAACCACACTCTGAGGTGAGATTTGTGGGTTTTATTAGTAACATGCTATGAAATAAGATATGAGCTTAGGCCTAGCCTTAGGTATATTTTGACAAAAAGCAGAAGAAACACAAACTACAAGTTACTATTTCTTGATCCAGAGCTCTGTTGACACTATTTGTCCTCCTGGATATACACAGATCAACCTAGCTCAAGAGCAGGTCACCTGAAATCACAGACTGTGATGTCTAAAACAGTCTAAAAGACTCGATGGAAAAAAGAATAACTCAAAGAACAACGAAAAGGAAAATGATGCTGATGGTCTTTCTGTTTCTCCCTGTTTTCCCTCATGTTTATCAAGCAGCCTATTTCTCGTGGCTACAGACAGGCAAGTGCTCTTGTAAAGACAGACAAGCCCGGACCAAGGGTCAGCTCTGCTATGTTAGTGAATAAAATCCTATTCAGTCTACAAGCAAACAAATTGTCTAGAATATGACCGTCACGGGCCACTTAATCTCATGCATCCCACTTTCCTCAATTTTTGAGCAGACCCAGGTTACTCCAAGGATGAAGGAAAGAATGCAGGATTTGGTGAGAGGCTGACAGGTAAAAAGTGCTCCGTACATTTGCTTGCTAATGTTGTCAGATGGCTGAATATTCCTGTGTGCAGAAGGTGCCAAGCAGCCTCCAGCCAGTGGGTGGGAGCTGAACTTCATGGGCCCTAGTGAGGCCACAGGATGATGGCCATGCTTCCACTCTCACTCCGCTCTACCAACTTGCAACAGGAGCCTGGGGATCCATGAGGGCCGTGCAGAGCTGGCCCTGTGCAGCTGTCTCCTTCAGTCCCACCCAGGTCACAGTGACCCATCACTGAGCTAAGGAAGGTGCTGTCAGGGCCTCCCGAGTAACAGCTGAGTCCTGCTACCAGGGTCCCCAGAAGGGACTTCTGATAGCCAGTGCTTACCCAAGCCAGAAGCCTCCAAATGTTAAAGATACACAACCAGGCATGGTGCCTTGATCTCAGCACTCTGGAAGGCTGAAGCAGAAGGATCTCTCACAGTCAAGCCTAACCCTGGGATACCAGCAATTTATCAAACCTTGTTTCAACGGGCTGGGGAGATGGTTCAGTAGAATAAGCACTTCCCTGGCAAGCGCAAGGGCCTGAGTTCAATCCCTGGTTCCACAAAAAAAAAAAAAAAAAAAAAAAAAAAAAAAAAAAAACTTGTTTCAAAATTTAAAAAGAAAGAGGTGGTTCAGTGCAAAGGCCCTAGGTTCAATCCTCAGTACAGGAAAAAATTTTAAGACATAAAGAACCTACTACTCTCACAAATGTAATTAATATTTTTCTGAAATAAGTATCATTCTCATTTGAATTCCATAATACGAATCTTTCCACACTCCTGCTTTGCCTTCCAGATTGCAGGATTCTAAAATCTACTTTCTTATTAATAAGTCTCCACATCCAAACAAAGGCACTATTTTCCACCTGGCTAGGAGTATCAAAAAAGTAGAGTGCTGTGTAGGGAGTTTTCATAATGTTACTTGGGAACATAATGCAAAATCCAAACTACACACAGTTATAAAAGGAGAAAGTTAATATTTTCACATGTGCTCTCAGCACATTTAAATATTACTTGGTCAGAATAATTTCCAGTAAAAAATAATTTTTTTTAATATTATTTATTTATGTGTGTGTGTGTGTGTGGCCAGCTCAGCCCACCAGGGGGCGGGGCTGGCTGGCGTGTGGTGCTGGGGGATTGAACCGTGGTCCCTGGGCCTTGCTAAGCTTCTTCTAAGTAGGTGCTTTAGACCACTGAGCCATCTCACCAGCCCTCCAGTAAAAATTTTAAGAGAATAACATGGAATGGTATGCTCATATTATACAGGCAAGAGAAAGGACAAAAGGAGATTACAGACACACTGAATTTGCAATCCTACAACTGAGTAAACACTGAAACACTAAACAGTTCTTTAGCAAAGATTATTAACATAGCAGTTCATAAACACAAAATTTGAAAAGCTTCCCTCTCTCAGTAATTCTTGCTGGGCAACAGTATTTACCAGCTCAGTAAATGTAGCTTTACTTTGATTTCCTTAGTCTTCAGAACCTGAAACCCATTGGATTTAGGCACTCATCTCAGGCACCTACCCCAGGTACCATTTCCCAGCACTGACCTCCTCTCTTATTGTGAAGATAAACCTGGATGGCCTGGCTTTGCCCAGTAGAGATGGATTCCCTCTCTAGTTCCACAGGGCATATTGATCTATCTGGTGACAGGTGATCATCTATCACTTGAGGTTTTCCATTTGACTGCTCTGATGCATTTCCAACGTGTAGTTTTTCAAAGTTTGCCAAAAAAGACTGACATATAAAACACCCTGCTGCTCTCTGAATCTATATTTCAACCCAGAAACTCTTATTCCTATAATTAAATATCCCCATAGTGGTTATTTATTAACTATTAATCAGAATGGCTTGCCACAAACCCTCTGAGTTAACTAAGCATCTGGCAACCCAGTGTCCTGCTCCAGGAGGAGTAGAACCCTCCCTTCCAACTCAGGATCCCAAATCAGAAATGAAGGAAGACTTTACTGAAGGGCTGGGGTATAAGACAATGGAACTGGGGACACAAATCCAATATTAGAGTTCGTCCTTGTCTTTTCCCTCGGTGGCAGTCATGTCTCTCCCCTTGTCACTACCTTAACCCCGACCTCTGCCTCTGAATGTTATCTCACCCTCTTCCCCAAGAGCTCAGAATACAGACCCAGTGCAGAAAGTATGACAGTGAGAGCCTGGCAGGAACCCACCCTGAAAGCAGTAATCCTCCCTGGAATAATGGCATTAAAGTCCATCTTAAGTTGTTGTTTTGGGGTTTTTTGTTGTTGTTGTTTGTTTGTTTGTTTTGTTTTTGTTTTCTTACAAGGATGATGTCCAAGAGAAGAATTCTCCACCTGATGAAACCAAGACTGTCAGAACACATGAAACTCAGAAACTCAACTAAATTCAATGTACAAATGAATGATAAGAAACAATTTTTAGCTGTCTGGTAATGTGACACCCCCCTCCCCTTTTTGTATCAGGAATAGAATTCAGGACTTTGCTCAGCAGGCAGGTGGTGTGCAGCGGAGCTAAGCCCCAGACCCTGGCTTCACCTTATTGAGGACACGTGGACCCCTGCGTCACCCCCACACTCACCCGGCACACACACATTATACAAGGGTTGTCTGTGATGAACGGGATCTGGAGCTCCTCCCCTTCGTTTTCACATTTTGCAACAGACCCTGAAATGAAAGAAAAAAAAATTTTTAAATTAAAACCTTGCTCGGTGACCTAACTACAATATCATCACGTTTCACAGAAGAAACTTCTTGAAACTCCTAGCCAAATTTCAGAAACGCTTAATGAGTTTTAAATCATTAAATTTACCAAAACAAATCCCCCCAAATCTATTACAAATATTTTTATTTTAAAAGCTTTTAAAGAAAATTTTCAGTTTGCTGTTCCTGTAGGCACATTCGAATGTTTCGCTGGATGGTTAATCTTGTTTCCCCTCCTTTTGTAAGTCATCCTGGCTACCAGCACACTCACACGCAAAAAATTCCGATGCGGCCATCAGGAGAGAGTTTCCCTGTGCGGAAACACCGCGTGTGTCACAGGCCCTGCCTCGGACCCCGCGCCCACACGGGCACTTGCTGAAAGGTACCGAGCGCAGGTCCACACCGCGCGTCCGCATCTCGCCTACGCCCACCGCGGGGCCTTGGGAACGCGGCACGCGTGGGGAGCGCGGCGCCGGGCTGTGGGGTCGCGGCTTCCTCGGTCCACAGGAGGGGTGCGGACGCACTGAGGCTTCGGGAAATGAGTCACAGGGGACTCTCTCGGCCGCAGGGAGAGGGACCGCGGCCTCAGCGCCAGCGCCGCGCGGCCCGGGTCCCGCCGCGCCCTCTTTGGTCTCCTGCGTGCCCTCGGTCCCCGTACCTGTCAGCAGCGAGGAC